CCGCATCCCTCCCCCATCTGTCCACCCTCCGCATCCCTCCCCCATCTGTCCACCCGCCGCATCCCTCCCCCATCTGTCCACCCGCTGCATCCTTCCCTCTCTCCATTTGCTCATTCTCAGCCATACAGTGCCCACGAGGGATAGGATCTGCTAGGAATGGGACAGCGGTGATCCCATTCCCACCCTCCTGGACATCAGTGGCCAGTGTGAGAGGCAGACAAGCACCTGACCCCCACAGGGACTAAGGGACCAGGAGGAAGGAGGAGAATGTGCTGAGTCCTCAGAGCGTGTGGAGGCCACCCAGTGCTCCATGTGCAGTGCCCGGCAATTCCTCCCACTCCCCTGGGGATGTGACCTCAGGGATGCACAGAGTCCTGGGGCATGGGGGTCACAGAAATGGTGCGGTGGGGTCAGCCTTCAGAGGGAGGGCATGGGGAGCAGGTAGTGCCCCAGAGAAGAGGCACATGGTGTCAGGGAATCCTGTGCAGCCAGGACACCATGGCTTGTCATGGGGAAGGGGCACTGATGGGCAAGAGCTGTAGATCTCGGGGACCACGCTGGCTGCTGCAGGGGCAAGGCTGGAAAACAGCCCCACGGGATTAAAGGACCATGCAGAGCCTAAGAGAAACTCAGGGACTGCCTCACAGAGCCGGATCCTCCCCCACCCCTGCTGCGTGCTGGAAGGAGCAGGCTCCGGACATCAGGCTGCAGGCTGCTGCGTAACCCCGTGGTGACCCGCTGGGGTTGTGGTGAACCCAGGGAAGAATAGTGACCGAACACCTGCATTTAGGCTTCAGTAAATGAGCAGAATGGACCGCACAGTTAGATTCCAATTCTAATTAGAATTAGAAAAGCACAATTCAATTAACTATACCAGGCATCAGGTGGCATTTCCACACACCACCCAGTCACACACCCCTTCCCTCCAGGCTGTAGGCATCCTCTGATGGGCCAGACCCGTGGTATCGAGCAGACCTGGGGCTGCCCCCGGAGAACTTACATCAGTGTAAGCAAAGGTGACATTACCTAGAAGGCCAGTTTATAGGAGGAACTGGTAGTTGATTAAAGATAACCTAGCATTAGCGTTATATAATTTAGATTTTTGTGAAAATCTTTTCCTTTGGGGGAAAGAACTCAGAGGTGTTTTTAAATTTTGAACATAGAAGTCGGACCTCAGTCCAGCACTGGACAATGAACCCCCAGCAGACAGACCTCCTCAGGGGGCCATGCCAGCTGACCGATTGGCCTACAGAAAAACTACCTTCATCGGGACGGCTGCAGACCCGATGAGAAGCAGCGAGTCCCCATCCCACACGTCGATCTGTAGGGTCTGCGCTGCCAGGTAGCGGGCGAACCAGCGCTGCTCTCCGGGCTTCAGGAATCCAGGATCCACCAGGTACTTCAGTTGAAAGCCAGCAGAACCTGTTTGAAGAGGCCCCAAATGAGTCCAAAAGTAATTGGAGTTATTTATCATCTTTACACTTTGAAGAGACCTCTGGTCGGTCATTATTACTAATTTCTGCTTCCATCATAGCTACAGTTTAATAAACACATTCATCAAAACATCATAAAATATCCAAATTAACAAAATGAAAAGTCACATTCAGAAGACTACATTTCTAACCAATACATACTATAAAATCCTCCCAAAATAAGATTTACGGTTCTCACTAGGTCCTTGGGAAACAGCCTATGCTGGCCAGGGACAGACGCCCTGCTGGGGCTGCCCAGGAAAGTCGCTACTGTGCACACGCAGGATTTCAGAAGGAGCGTAGTCTGCATAGTCACACACGCACACATGCAGAGCTCACACCGAGACTGAGCTCAGCAACGCTGCTCAGGAACTCCTTGCGCCTGCACTGGGATGCCACGGCACCAGCCTGTGGGGAGCATCGGCCTTACCGACAGGGCACTCCTGGCTATCAGACTTCCTACTATGACATGGAACCAGAGGGCAGCCTCTGCCTTCAAATTCCCAAGGTGGCATCATCATTAATTCTAGACTGACAAAAATGCCACTGGAATCACTGTTAGTCAATGTGCAGGGAACATATTCCAAACACGTGTCCCCTTTCTATCAATACTGTGACATACTTAGGAAGCCCCCCTGAGCAGAACACTAACTCTGGGCAGGGAGGGGCTGACGTTTCCTCAGGCCAGGCTCAGACCTGCACCCACCACCAGCCACCTGGCTCTGAGGCTGCCCACACGGCAATGTCCGCAGCGCTCATAAGACCAGGGCAGCGTTTTCAGGGGAAGCAGTGCGTTGGGTGAGGACGGAACACAGCAGGGGCTGCTAGGGGGCTCCGGGGAGGCCCCTGCTGGGCTCACGGGGAGTGGAGTACCAGCAGCTCAGGCCTGGCTTTGGCCAGGCCACAGGAGGAGAGCTCCCAGGACATCTCACAGGGCGGAGGGGCAGTAAGGAGTCAGGACAAAGGCCAAGAGAGGGGCTGGCGATGCCGCTGCAGGGGCAGGCCCGGCCCAGGTATCACATCTCCCGGCGACCCGACCAAGTCACGGGGCCAATGGAGGCCAGCCCGGCCCCACCCTCGCACCTGGGCCAGCTCTGAAAACTGGCCTCTGGTCAGTCCCATGACACCTCCCTAGCAAGGCTGGCTCCCCAGGGGCTCGGTAGGGGCTGGGACAAAGGCCTGTCGGCAGAGGCCCAGGGGCACACTGACCCACCACTCCCACCCGCAGGGCCCAGCCGGGCTGCAGGGGAAGGAGCAGCTCAGGCACAGGTCTCCTCGCTGGTCATGCCTCTGGCTCCAAGAGGCAGGCGGGATCTGGGCTTTGTGGGCCAAATGCTCAACTGACGCCTACAGACACCTTCCCAGAGCTCTCCCAGCACCCTGCATCCAGCGTCTCCCAGGCTCACAGACCCACCAGCACTGGGCTCCCCACCCACAGTCCTACTGGCCCCCTGAATGCAGTGTGTCCCCGCCAGCTCCTCCAGGGGTCCCCTAACTGCTTCCCTGCAAGCATCTCCCGACGCCCTGGCTAGGCTGGCTCCTCCCACCACTCATCACTGCATTCCCATCGGCTGCCAGGTCCTCTCAATACAACCATTAATACGACCACACTCAGTGAATAATTACTGCCCCCAACCGCACGCCAGGACCTGCAGAGGGCAACATGGGAGAACAGGGCAGACAGGGGTCCCGTCCTGATGGAGTTCGTGGTCTCAGGGGGACACACGCAGCGCAGAGCCGGCGGCGCGTTACGTGCTCCGGGGAAGGCACGTGCGGTGCGGGGCCATCCTGGTCTGGGTGCAGCTGCAGTCTCTTGTGCTGGAACCTTGATTCTTCCTCACAGCAGGTTCGACTTCCTCCTTTCCTGTCTGGCTCAGCAATGGCTCCTCACCTGAGCTCTGAGCACCCCACAGCCCACCCCATGGTGCTGCCAAAGCACCCAGGAACGGACACCTGCCCCATCTCCACCTCACTCCAAAGTCTGCAATGGTGCTGGCCACCAACTCAACCGAGACAGACTCCTGGGGGCAGTGGCACCTCTCCTGGGGTCTCCTTAGGCTCCCAAGCTTACCTCTTGCCCCTTCACAAATACCATTCCCTGGCGATCTGGGATTCTGACTGCCTGAGTCCAGCCCTACTCCCGTTTTCAAGTCTGGTGAGTGTTTCTCCTCTGCCTGGAGTCGTGGCCTGTCCCTCTTTTCAATCTGTAGCTCTCCGTCAAGACTCACAAAAACCCCCTCCTTCTCTGTGAAGACATCCACAATTCCCATAATTCCCATCTCAGAGGATGGAGACTTTATAATACTATAATCTACAACTCATGAACATACAGCAGCTATGAATATTTACATACCAAATAAAGCAGAACTCTAGGGATGCAAAGAGAAACAAACGAAAACACAGTCATAGTAGAGAACAACTACCCACTTTCCTTTCAAGGTAGGTCAAATGGACAATAAGTAAGTAAGGGTGTAGAAGACCAGGCCAGGTAATCTGGAAGGTAGAACATATGCCACATGTAACACTGTACCCCAATAACAGAGAATACATCTTTTCAAGTGTGTCTGGAACATTAATGAAAATTGACTGTATATTAGGTCACCAGGAAACCCTAATTAAGTTCTATAAAGTAGAAATAATACAAAAAAACTTCCTGATCACAATGCAACAAACTAGAAATCATAGAGAATTTTTAAATTTACAACTTACTCTTAAATAATTCTGTCAAAGGAAAATAAATATGACCAAAACATATTTCCTAGAAAATAATAATGAAAATACTCTCATCAGAATAACCAAAACATAAAGCAGTAATCAAAGGAAAATTCATAGCCTAAAATATTTTATGTCCATAAAAGCAAAAAAATTAAGTGAATTAAGTAACTCAAAACAAATTAGTAAAATAACAAAGAAGATTAAAAAAAAAAAGAAAAGAAAAAGAAGAAGAAAATTCCACAGAGATCATATGTGACCCAGAAAATCTATAATATTTACTAGCTGGCCCTGAACAGAAATCAGTTTGTCAACCTCTGGCCTAATGTAACAAAATAAAAAATCCATAAATAAACTTGAGTAATAAAACATGTTTGGTATATGATAAGGGCGGCTCTCAAGCTACTGGAGAAGATGGACATTTTAGTAAATGGCACTGGGTCAACTGGATGGACATTTGAAAAAAAAGATAGAATTGGATCCATACCTCCCATCACATAGTGGGATAAACTGCAAACAGCACAGAAATCTAATGTAAAAAATGAAACCTACAAGCGTCTTTATGAGCTGGAAGAGGAGAAAGCCTTTGTGTCTATGACCCAAGAACTCAAAGCAATAAATTAGGAAAGACTGACCCACTAGACCACATAAAAATAAAACTTTCACACAGCAAAGCCCACCACAAGCAAAGTGAAAAACCAATGACAAAACGGGAGAGCATATTTGTGATTTATATCACAGGCAACAGTTACTCTCCCTGATATCTAGAGTTCCCAAAACAGAGGACAAAATAGACAAAAAATCTGATAGGAAAATGGAAAAAGTTTATGAATATAAGTTTGCAGATAAAGACAAATATAAATGATGCCCAACTTTACTCATTGTAAGAGAAATACAAATAAAAACTTCACTACAATCCATCTCACGTCGATCAAACTGTAAAAATCCCAAAGTTTAATAACCCATTTTGTAGGCAAGGCCCTGAGGTAACAGCCAGCCCCATACTTTGCCAATGGAGTGCAGAAAGGTCACAGGCCAACACTGGGGACGTCGGCACCGTCTACCAACAGCAGCAAAGACTTTGACCCTATAATCCTACTTCCAGAAATCTGCCCTAAAAACACACAGAGACCACCAGAAACATGAGGTTCCTCGTTGCTGCAGTATCGGAAATATCAAAACCCTGGAAACACCCCAAACATCCATCAGTAGGAGACTGCCTGAATAAATCACAGGACATGTGCCCAATTTGCTGTGAAAACAACACAGGTGATTTCCACATGGAATACACTCAGGCTATGATGCTAACTGAGAAAAGCAAGGTAAAAGAGGGGGTATTTAGTAGGCTACTATTGAATAAGAAAAAAAGGAGAAATAAAAATATTCATATTTGCTTATTTTTTTAAACGCTAGAAGCAGAAGCCAGAGATTGAAATCCCAGTTACCTCCCAGAGGCTGAGCTGGGTGGGGAAGAAGGTCAAAGGGAGCCGTGTGTGCAAATTTGACTATTTTGAGTAGTTTTCTATTTTGAGCCATGTAAATATTCCAAAAACTTAAATCAGAAAGGAAGAAAACAAACATAAAATTGAAAAAAATGAAAACAAGTCAATCTGACTAAACATCAAATTTGGTAGCATAACTCCATAGAGAAAGGAATGATTTCAAGAGCTTGTGGGTCACATAAACTAACTAATTAGCCCAAGACAAGAACACAAAGGAATCTGAACTTTCATCAATGTGTCACTATTACCATTAGTAGTGCAGAAAACATATTATAAAGGATGTAGGGAAAAATAAGTAAGTAAATATATTGTTAGGAACCACAATTTTTGGTGAATTCACAGTGAAAAGACAGTGGAGTAGGAGGGCAAAGCAAGAGCCTCCTCCCACATACGCACCGGGGAGGCAACTACGGCAGGTACAGCTGACCCTGGAAATGACCTGAGGACTGCACAGCAGACCAGGAGAAAAGAGGACCACTGAGAAGGCGGAAGTAGCAGACCACGGTCGCTCGGGACCCGAGCCCTTCCCCCATCCCGGCCCACAAGCAGGAGGGCGAGGAGTGAAGCAGGGAGGGGATGAGGACCCAGGAACTCTGCACACCTGGCCCTGGAGATCTGCTCTGCGTACACAAACACACACTGCCCTGGGCTCTGGGGATTAACGGGGCCGGACGTCAGGGAGAGCTGGGGCACTCTGGGGGGCTGAGACCCCATCAGTTGTGCAGGACAGGCACAC